TGCTGCCATCACAACAGCTTCCCAGGCCAGTGCAGGCGGGACTAAGGGCCTAGAGCAATGAGTCTGTGCAACTGCCTCCACACACACATCATGGCCGGCCGTGCCTGCCAGCAGCACCAGCACAGAAGAAACTGGTCTCTCTTTCAAGCTTCCAAATTGCCCACAAATGCATTTATGAAACCTGTTATGCACTTAGAAACCTTTGTTGCTGCTGTTAGTGCTACGGAGTTGATTCCAACTCCTAGCGACCCTGTGTACAGCAGAGTAGAACCCTGCCCAGTCTTTTTGAGCCATCCTCTCATCTTCCAGCACCATACCAGGTAATGCTCTGCCGCTATTCACAGGGTTTCCATGGCCAATTTTTTCAGAAGTGGGTGGCCAGGTCCTTCACAGCCCTCCAGGACCACTTCAACTGACCCCATCTTTTTTCAACAGAGTGATTAAGAACTGCCTTTCAGAAAATTTGCAACGTCATGTAACCAGAGCACGAGCAGAAGAAATCTTGACCTGAAATGACCACAGAACCAAAGATTCTTCTCCCCATGGAAATAAAAGACTGGGACACAAACAGATCTTAAAAGTCAGGCTCCTCCCTCATTTGGGAAGATCCAGTGTTAAAATTCCTTCCCCACCTCATCAAAGAAGCCCACCAATCAAAACCTGTCCTGCCAGCATTTCTGTGTGCCAGCCTGTTCCCCACAAGCTCTTAAAGTTCACCCCAAATCCTGAATCGGAAAGACAGATCTGAGGGCACACGCTCCCTGTCTCCCTGCAGATCAATCTCACAAAATAAAGCTGATTTCTCCCCAAAGAGCTGATGATGTAATCAATTGTTTTTTTATGCAAATCAGGCAGGAGAATTCCAATTTTGTGAGGTAACACTTTTTTCTAGTCTGTCTTAGTCTGCCAGTGTCTGTCAGCTCCGCTGAAACCTGTCCACCATGGGTGACCCCACTGGTATTTGAAATACTGGTGGCATAGCTTTCAGCACCACAGTAACACGCAGCCATCACAGTATGACAACCGACAGATGGGTGGTGTGGTTCCCTGACCAGGAAACAAACCCAGGCCACAGTGGTGAGAATGCTGAGTCTTAACCACTAGACGACCAGAGCCGGCATATTTAGAAAGCTAGCTATAAGAAAATCTGGGACATGAGTTGTTAGGTTTGCAGTCAGAAGGGTGGAACGAAGGCCAGAGAGCCATTCCCCAGGACCTCCACAATCACCATTCTTTCCGTCCTAAAACAAGGCAGGCTTCCACAAAGAAAGCACAATAAAAACCTTTTCTGTCTAAACTGCAATTTCAAACGGTGTTAAGAGCGCTGAAAAATTCTTCTACTAATGGGTAAAACCAAGACCTAACTCATTTCATTATGGAACAATATTTCATTTTCACATTTAGTTAGTTCTAGCCCCAGCAGAATAAAATTTTAAGATCACTGCAGTTGATAACAGAGCCAACCGCAGTTCTCTTCTAACTCATGTATTAAATATACACTGGTCTTTGAGTTTTATTCTGCAGGGAATGAAACAGACTAAGCTTGAAAATATATTAATTTTCCAGATAGCTGTAAGTTATTTTATGGTAAGCCAGAACCAGGGGAGGGAAGTGTGCCATTGTGATTTATAGTAAGAAATATATATTTGGTTTTTGTCCTCATTCTGGTACAGAGCTCCTAAGGGCCTTGGAATTTCCTAAGAGATGAGAGAGATAAAGGCGTCTTTTGTTATGTTAATGAGGCGACTTTTGGAAAGCTCCTAGGTAACCTAAGGAGGGTGCTGGTGTCAGTGGAGCCAAACCTGTGACTAGAGGGTTGGAACTTTCAGTCTCACCCCCTGACCTCTTGGGAAGGAAGAGGGGCTGGAGATTGAACCCAATCACCACTGGCCAATCATTCAATCAATTATGCATATGTAATGAAGCCTCCACAAAAACCCAAAAGGACAGGGTTTAGAGAACTTCCCAGTTGATGAACACATGGAGATTCGGATTCGGGGAGAGTAGTGCACTTTTAGAGGGCATGCAAGCTCTGCGCCCTTTCTCCATACCTTGCCCTATGCATCTCTTCCATCTGTTCTTGAATTATATCTTTTCATAATAAACTGTTAAATGTTTCTCTGAGTTCTGTGAGCCACTCCAGCAAATTCATGAAACCTGAGGAGGCGGTTGTGGGAACCTCTGAACTATAGCTAGTTGGTCAGATGCACAGGTGACAACCTGGACTTGTGACTGGCATCTGAAGTGTGGGGAGGCGGTGGGGGGGGGGAGTGTGGGGGTGGGAATCTTGTAGGACTGAGCCCTCAACCTGTGGGAACTGATCCTCCCAGCAGATGGTGTCAGAATTGAGTTGAATTGCAAGACATCCTGGATTGAGTTAATTGCTTGGCGGTGCTAAAAAAAAAAAAAAAAAAACGACAAGCACTGAAGGGAGGTACCTTTTTTATTACCCTAATTATTGCTCCTAAAGACCTAAATGATCAAAACAAGCCAGAAGAAAATAGTTCATTTAGCTAAAGTACCACAATAACTACACTCTTAAAATTAGTTTCCCAACAATTACTATTCTCTATATCAAAAGGGTTAAGGAACCTTCTCGTAAGGAATTTTTACCCCTAAGTGATTTCACTTCGTTCCTTCTTGGGTTATTTCTCCATATTGTACAAAAGGGAGGCAATGGAAACATTTTCCTTTTTCTGACAGAAACACGATTGGGTGGATATTGAGAGTTTCTTCAACTCTTAAGAACAAAAAAAAAGTGACATGGGGCTGGCCCGGTGGCGCAGCGGTTAAGTTCGCACGTTCTGCTTCTCGGTGGTCCAGGATTCACCAGTTTGGATCCTGGGTGCTAACATGGCACCGCTTGGCAAAAAAGACATGCTGTGGTAGGCGTCCCACATATAAAATAGAGGAAGATGGGCATGGATGTTAGCTCTGGGCCAGTCTTTCTCAGCAAAAAGAGGAAGATTGGCAGTAGTTAGCTCAGGGCTAATCTTCCTCAAAAAAAAAAAAAAGAAAAAGTGACAAAGCACAATAGCCTAAAATAAAAACAGTGTCCAACCAACAATGGCTGTTCAGGTTGCGAGAATCATCTCCCAGAGTTGTCAGTGGAAAAAACGACAGGAGTCTCCCTGTGAAAGAACTTCAATTCTCCCTTCTCAGAAAACGAAAACCCCATCACACCATCACACCCCGCAAGTCTCTCATGGCCATCAGGGATCATCAAACTACACCTTATACTGCTCCGACAAAAGGAGTAAGGGCACAAACAGGCAGAAACTAAAGACTGTTCCCAACTTAATGGAAAAAGCTCTCCCTAGCTCTCCTCCTTCAGGGTATTTTTAAAAACTTGAACTTGGGGGCTAGTTATTTCTCTTGGACAATTAGGTACTATCTTCTGCCAATGCTGCTGACCGGCAAAGCAGAGTGGGCAACAATTTTATGCAAAAAGAACAGACCTGGCCCGCAAACTTCAGCGGCTAGAGGTAGCACCTATCAGGGAACAACAGAAGAAACACTGAGGCGGATTCACAGACTAAGGACAATCGCCAGCCCTCACAGGTAAGCTTATTAGTTAATAACCCCTGTTAGGTTTCGCCTGAGAACGCTGCTGGGAATAAGGATCTGAAGAATTCTTACCAAAGATCTAATAACTTACTTCTCTACTCCGTTTATTTCTCTCTAGAGCAAGACTTTAAATGCATTCATTATGGTGTGAACCCCCAAAGGTTCTTTTCCAAGGGAATGAAGGATATTGTATTTTTCAACCTTTTAGCAGCGAAGCACCCCATCCTCAAATGCCACCCCACCCAAGTCTCCCAAAAGAACAACATGACAGCGGGGTTCCTACCATTTCTTCAGCTGCCCACTTACCTTCCAATTCACCTGCACGTCGGATGCGAGTGATTTCAACTTGAAACTCACTGTATAGGTCGAGGCAAATGCCTTCCAAAATCTCACATCCCCTGTTTATTTCATACCCTGGGAAGGCACCTTATGGATGCTAATGAAATATCTTATAGAGGCAGGCTGCTCCTGCCTCTATAAGAGCTAAGCCACCAAGCTGTTGTCAGAGAATATAATCATGTGAAGCTTGGAGAAAAATTTCAATTGATGACCAAGACCATTTGATCCAAGAAGCTGCCTTGGGGCTTTCAACATTACAAAATAGATTTCGTGAGTGTTCTACAGTTTTCAGGCTCAAGTGATTTCAATTAAAATTAAGAACAACCTCTAACACGTGGTTAAAGTCAGTCTCAGCCCACTTCACGGGATCGCATACATAGGACACGGGCATCAAAAGAAAAAACACAAATATTCACTCAGGACACAAAGGAAAGGAAAGGAAATGCTGCATTTGGCTTCCTTCCAGCTGCCACTTGGAGGCACAGTTAGGCAGGAGAGCCACGTGGGCCGATGAGCGAGTCCACGAAGCCTGTCACAGCCTGGCTGGTCCTTAAGAGCTGCAAGGGCTGCTCCTCCCTGACCAGGAAGGGCAGGTGTCCCCTGCAGCCTAGACCTGGGCTGCAGTGCAACGCCTAGGAGTCTTGGCCGCTGCCCCATGGGCCCTGGCCTGGTTCCGTAGCATGCAGGAGTCGAGCACGTAAGCCAGGAGCTTATGTTAGCAAGAACCACATGAAGAAGCCATTATTCGGGGGAGCGACATAATATATTGTAACTGCTCCCATCATGTCAATAGGCATCATTTTAATGGGTGTGTTAGAATTTCTCCCACTTGAAGATAAAATGACTCCCATTTCAATAAAAATAGGAGAGCCCTCATTGGTAGGATCACAATTCACCCACAGCAGCTGCCAGACACAAGAACAGAAGTGCCAGGCGTGCACACAGTGGATTTCGTCTCTCCAGGCAATGGTTCCATTTTATAATTTGTCTCCTCTTAAAACAAAGAGATGAGCAAGTTACAAATATAATTACTGTGTTTCGGAACAAGCGAGAACGCAAGCCATGAAACTGCTGAGAGAGGACGGCTAGCTTACCTCTGGCTCTGGCTGTAAGGTCTGTTCATCTTCAGCGGAGTTTGGTAAAATTGCCCAGGTTATGTTGGCACTGGCTGATGGCAAAGAGCCAAGTGTCCCATTTTTCAGCTGCTCTGTGGAATGTGACTTGGGCCCGTGCCATCCCAGGATGTTTTCTGAAATAAAGACCTAGAATGATGCCAAGTATTTTCCAAATTGAACATTTATAGCTCAAGAAATATCTGTACCTCACTGTACAAGGAGACCAACTTGAAATGGGCCCAATCCTAAGTGGACTATGGTGGACTTAAGTGGGACTTGTTTTGAATGGGGCACCAAGTGTAGATTCGGATCATCTATTTATAAACTCGTTTCTGTATAATGTCAGCATCAGATTCATCATAAGCTGTTTCTCTCCCCAGTCTTGGACAAAAACAACTCACATTTTACCAAAGCCAGATTTTCTTAAAGGTGTTTTTCTTATTTATTAACTTTTTAAAAATATTTTTAAATATTTACAATAAAAAACAAAAGTCAGATTTTATCAAACACAGGCTGCTCACACTCTGGTCTGAATGCTAACTGACATGGTGACCACAGCTGAGAAAAGATGCCTGCAGTGTGATCGACACCACCTCTGCCATTAGATGTGGCCCATGTGGTCGGAGTCAGGAAGCCCCACCACTAAAGACAGGTGTGGTCACTCCATTCTAGCAAAAAACACTTCTTTGTTTACCAGATTGGTGTTTATAAAGCATTTTTCTAATCCTCCCTCAATCTTTGGAAAAAAAGACTTCCTAACTCTAACACTGGGTTTTTTTTAAGAGTCACGCATCATCATGGAATATTTGTATATGTTTACTAATGGGGATGGGAGCAATCAGAGGTAGATCTTTTGACCCCATAGCAATTCTTCCATTAGAACAAGAACAGGTCTCAAACTCAGCTGACCTACTCCCTGGAGATGCTGTCCTCGGTCCAAGAGCAGGAGTAAGCGATGAAGAAAAGGTGGGCTAAGCGGAGACTGCCTCATGTGACTAGAACTCAACCTCTCAGCCTCTCAGATGTCCCATCCACACAGTAATCACATCCATCAGCCTTTTCATTAGAGTTACTCAAGGAAAAATCTACAAGTTTCCCAAACTTTTAGCACCCTGAGGGAATCTGGTTGATGGAAACAAAATAACAGAGGCAGCTGAAAGGACGGTAGCTGTGCTTATGCATGTGTGTTCGTGGGTGCAAGATTACCCAAGCCAAGCCTATTTTTATGCAAAAACTTTTTTTAATGTCAAGTGTCAGAGCACATAATTCTGCTGCTTAAAAGCCTCCAGTGGCTTCTCATTGCAACTGGAACACAATCTAACTGCTTGGTTTGCCAAGACTGCTCAAGCTCACTTCATTCTCTCCCCACTGCTCACTATGCTCAAGCCACGCTGGTCCTTTTGCCATTCCTTAAGTGAGCCAAGTTCATTACACTCAAGAGCCTTTGTGCAGGCTATTTCTTCTGCTCAGATTGCCATCCCTCTAGTTCTTCTATGGTGGGGGCTGTGGGGCGGGGCGGGGGGGGGGGGTCCCTCCTGCGTAAATCCAGGTGTGAACTCAAACATCACTTGCTCAGAGAAGCCCCCCTGGGACTTCTGTGGCCAAAGCAGCACCCCAGAGGCAACTCCCTGCCCCATCAGTCAGTTTCCTGTCTTCACAGCACTCAGCACTATCTGAACCCGTTCTGCTTGTTTGTCTGTTTTTCTCCCTCCCAAGAATGTCAGCTCCTTGAAGGCAGGGACAATATTGTCCTTGCTCATGGCTGTGTCCCTAAAACCTAGAACATGATCTGGCAAAGAGTGTGCACTCGATAAATACATGCCAAATGAATGAATGACCATTAAGATTTTCAGAGAGGGGCCGGCCCGGTGGTGCAGCGGTTAAGTGCACACGTTCTGCTTCAGCGGCCCGGGTTTCACCGGTTAGGATCCTGGGTGCGGACATGGCACCACTCGGCAGGCCATGCTGTGGCAGGCATCCCACATATAAAGTAGAGGAAGATGGGCATGGATGTTAGCTCAGGGCCAGTCTTCCTCAGCAAAAAGAGGAAGATTGGCAACAGATGTTAACTCACGGCTAATCTTCCTCAAAAATAAAAAAAAGATTTTCAGAGAGTAAATTTCAAGAAGAACGTGCATTTCACAACGTCCAAAAAGTTAAAAAATAAGAAATGGCAAAAAGAGAGAGAGAAAGGGGAATGGTGGCTGCAAGGTGCTGGGGATGGAGGGGTGGGGGTTATTGTTTTTGTTTGTTTGTTTTTGTGAGGAAGATTGGCCCTGAGCTGACATCTGTGCCAATCTTCCTCTATTTTTTATGGATGGGATGCTGCCATAGCATGGCTTGAGGGGCGGTGCCAGGTCCGCACCAGGGATCTGAACCTGCAAACCCTGGGCCACCGAAGTGGAGCATAGGAACCTAACTACTACACCACTGGGCTGGCGCAGGGAGTTATTGTTTAAAGGGTGTAGAGTTTCAGTTTTGAAAGATGAAGAGAGTTCTAGAGATTGGTTACACAACAATGTGAATGTTCGTAACACTACTGAGCTGTATACTTAAAAATGGTTAGGATGGTAAATTTTTTGCTATGTGTATTGTACCACAATTTTATTTAATGGCAGAAGGCATCCAAAGGGGGCTGGCCCGGTGGCGCAGTGGTTAAGTTCCCACACTCCGCTTCAGTCACAGGTTCAGATGCCTGGGACGGACATAGCATCACTTGTCAAGCCACGCTGTGGTGGCATTCTACATAAAATAGAGGAAGACTGGCACAGATGTTAGGCTCAGCAACAATCTTCCTCACAAAAAATAAAAACTAAAAAAATGGCATTCATATATCAGTCCATGACATCATTAAAAAAGGATGAAAACTCACAACACTAAAATCAAAGACTGAAGGATGATCTGAGACCAGACTTGGGAGGAACCCCTATAACATAAATAATACAGCAGATGGAGCTGGACTAAGAATACCAACACAGGGTTCAAGACACCAGAATCTTCCATAAGAAAAGTGGACAGACACTGCTTACTTGTCCCACTGACCAACTCATCAGATTCTGAATTCTGGATTCAGAGCTTATATACTGGGCAGCTGTCTCGTAAACACAGGGGTACTACTTTTTAAAAATTTTATTTTATTACATAAGTAGTAAATGTCCTCTAGAGTAATTAGGCAAGCTTAAAAAGCAAGCTTAAAAATGAGATCTGCTTACCTAGGCAATCAGGACAGTGTTCCCTCCATTACTCCTACACGTCAATTCTATCCCTCCCTCCCCTCCATATTACCATCATTCAGAGATAATAACCCAGGAGATAACGCAACATGAAGTAGAATGTGGTGGAGCAGTGATGTGCTGCATCCTGGGATAGACAAAGACCAGGACAGGAAGAGTGACGGTCACAAAGCATACTGGGAAATGTAGTTTCCTGTATACTCTGCAACTTCAGAGTGTCAAAGATCCAGAGAGTAAGGAGAGGAGAAAAGCCCAATTCAGATCAGTCCAGCTGCTCTAATCAACAAACACTGGTTTTAGAGTCTTGACTAGACCTGTCTCGTTTGAGGATGAAGGAGGAAAACTCTAACATAGAGCAAATGAAAAGGACTGCATAGAGCTTGGGAAAAGAAACAGTATCCTCAGAAGGCTTAGAGGAAGAATATGTCTCTGAAATTTCTAACGTAAGATGTCAGAGAAAACAGCAGGAAAGTGTATCCTCAGCAGAACACAAGATAAAGCAGCCTCTAGGAACAAAACCAGAAAGCCAAAAGAAGAAAACAGGCTGCGGTAAAAAAAGGAGACGGATGCACTAAGGAATTATTATGAGGGAACTAAATCAGCATTAGAATTAAAATAACACTGAAATGAAGAAAAAGTAGACTCAACACTGTAGAAAGTCAAATAAGTAGTACGTCAAGATAAGGAAGTTCTACCAGTGTGCAGTTGCAAAGAGCGCAAAAACGACAACAACTAGACAGGAGGTAACAGAAGATGCACACAGAGATCTAAGAGACCCTGAAGGATCGAGATCAGGTCAATGGAACAGAAACAACAATGACAGAAGTAAAGAAAGCCAGCCTGAGCTGACGAGAGAGCTGTGGGCACTGCTGAAACAGGCCACCACACTCCAGCAAAAACAATGGGAGAGACTCACATCGAGACGCAGCTTAGCGATACTTTCTTAGGCTTTTCATTACTGAAATTTCAAACACATACAAAAGTAGACAGACAATAGTATAATGAATGCCTAGCTCGAAGTTTGGCAACATTTTTGAATAACAAAAATCAAGAGAAAAATTTTCCAATCATTTAGGCAGAAAAATTAGACTTGCCTTAAAGGGAAAAAAAAAAAAAATCAAGCTAGTCTTGAATTTTGCTACAACACTAAATGCCAGCAGGCAAATAGATGAAGAGAAGAATGCAAATAAAAGGGGATAATGCTCATCCTCAGGCAAGCGATCTTTCCTCTCCTAAAAAGAGTCAACATTGACTGAGCTCTTGTTAGGTGCCGAGGACTATCGTATGTAATTTATGTGTGTTCACTTACCTCACTCTAACGACAACCCATGAAGTAGGTTCTACTATTACGACCACTTGACAGACAAAGAAACGGAGGCACAAAGAGCTAATAAGTGGTAGAATCGAGATTAGAACACAGGCAGCCTGGCTCCAGAGCCCAGACTCAAACTCTACACTCTATGCCTTCTCAGCGGCACTGAAGACACTCAGAAAATATTCTACCTTCTGAGGGAGAAACTATGTGAGGACGTATACTAATATATGAAGAAAAGCAGCAGAACTAAGAACTCAAGACTGGAGAAATCATGTATGAAAGGACCGGTGGTGAGCAATGAAGCCAGTTAAATACAGAGCTGGGCAGGCCTGAGGGTGAGGCAGAAGAGACAGGAGCCTTGGGTACAAAATATAAAGAGGCACCAAGACCCTCCATAATCAAGATAAATGAGATTTAATCAGTATCACACATTAAGAATTAAATTAATATTAAAATACTACTAACAACAATAGCCCCCATATTAGATTACCAAAAATTGGTAAGTATATCAAAAAGATCAAGGAAATTAAAGTATGCTGAGTCTTCATCACTAAAGGAGAGGGTCAAAAAGTAGTGTATCATTCTT